TATAGGCTGGGAAACAGTCTGCAGCTTAGTCTCTTTCACACTCCATTGACACGGTAACCCCATGGTTCACCAAGTTTAATGTTAGTACCTATTACTATGGGCCACCTCAAAAGGCAGTCAGATCAAAGCTTTAATATAGCTGAACAATAGCAATATAATATGTAATAGAAAGACAGAGAGAAAAGTCTGCTTCCTACTCCGTTTATCTACCTTGGGCAGCAGTTAGGGAGTAGGGGGTGGAGAGAGAAGAAAAATAACTCCCTCTTAAAACTTCTTTCCTACACTACACACCTAAAGGTTGGTCTGTGTTTCTAGACTTATTTGAAATTAGTTCCTCTCCTGGATCTATCCTGGGTTACGCTGATATCCTATGGTAACAATGAAAGAGTTGAAATGGATAAGGCTTTGGGGGCTGTGCCTAAAACTTGACATGCATTAAACTTGATCTTTCCCCGCCTTTTGGACATACAGACTATAGCTAATAAGCAACTAAATAAGTTTTGAAAGCACAGACTTAATCTGAGCTAAGTGTTTTATGTATATTATCTCATTTGATGCCAACTACATACTAAGAGGTAGCTATCATTATCTCAATTTTATAGATGAGATATCTGAAACTTAAGTTACAGCTTTAGTGTTGGTTAGGATTTCAAAGTCCCTAACTACTACAAATTACAATACATGCCTTCTAAAAAATGGGATAAAGCAAAGCATAGCACAGTTTAAAAATTAATTAATTAGAAAAAAAAAAAAAAAACACACCAAAGTACAATAGCAACAAAAGAAAATAATTCTAGAGATGGAGTCCCTATGTTAGAGATATAGTTACAACTCGGTATCTATCTCCTCCCTCCCTGCAGCTATGCTAGCAAGTGTAAAGGCTAAATCTGGCTGGTAAGAAACTGAGAAACCAAAAGACTTTAAAGCAAGTTTCACTTTAAAGCAGGCAAAGAAAATATTAAATAATTGATAAATAAGAGCTTCTCTTATAAGCAGATTAAAAGTTTACAAATTAGAGTTTCAAAAACAAATAGTTACCCTAGAACAATAATATCTTCAGAACAATGCTCCTTTAAGGATCAGGAAGCCTGTAGAGAGTGCTACAGACAGCTTTCAAAGAATAATCTACTAAGCACACATGGCTGAGGTACTTAAAACTATATTCTAATCTATTATTATTATGATATCAAAAGAAAAATAAATGTTAAAGGCTGATAAAAGCTAACAATAGGTAACTGCATTTTCTCAGTCAAACAAATATTAAGTGCACATACTGTATTAAGATCTATGGTTAGGGGCAGTGGAGACTACCAAGTAATAACATTGTTTGAACTGCATGAATAATGTAGCCCCCCTTTAAGTTTTCTCTACTGAATTGGGAGGATAAGAAATTTTTTTAAAGTTATTTTAAAGTAATATATAATAGCCAAATAAAGAGAAAAGCAGTAAATGATAAAAACCCAGAGGAGAGATATCACTAAGGGACTAGAACGGTTGAAGATGTCATAAAGCAGGTGGAATTGGAATCAGACCTTCATTTTTTATTTTATTTTTTATTATAGTTGGCATACAATATTTTATTATACATATGTATATGTTGTACGTATGTATGTAAAATACGTACGTATTTTATTATACATATATGTATATGTTGTACATATACATATATGTATATGTTGAACGTATACAACATAGTGATTCAACATTTATAGACCTTACAATGTCTTCCTTATGATCACATCATTACGAACTAGGCCTTTAGAAGACAGAGAATTGAAGGGAAGCATTCCAAGTAGAAGGAATAGCCTAAACAATATGAAGAGGGAGTAAGGCAAAAAGTTTTGCTTTGGAGGGAGTTATAGAAATTAGTCTAGGTAGAGTCAAAGGTTGGGAAGTAGTGGAAGATTCTGCAGAAAGATTGTTTTCAGCCTGGAGGGCCTTCAACACTAGGTTTAGGCTTTTAATATCCTAGGCAATGGAGAGTTGGGTCTAGATCCTACAGACAATTTCTGAGAAATGATACTATTAGTGTCTCCTCCATACCTTCCCTTACTCCATTTGCCCTTTCATTTACACTGTCCTCTTTTTAAATATGGATCATTGGTATAAAGATGATAAGACAGCACACAATCTTCACACTGACATCTCTCTTATGCTTACTTAATCCAATTGTATCAGTGACCAAGCAGTGACATATTTAACCAAAATCCAGAAACAGGATCAACAGGAGAGACTGCCTCTAAAATAATGTGCTCCAAGTCTAATCTCATACTCAGAATTAGACATGATACCTAGGGGAACCATCAAATACACTTACTATGTATAGCTATTCTCATACCAGAGAAAGAATTGAACCAAAATCTGCCCCAAATTAAATTCTACTCCGCAATCCAAATAATATCCAGTAACTCTTGCCTTTGATGTCTGATGAAGACTACTATAGTTGTTTAACTGTCTCTGAAATGATAACAGTTGGTGGTATGTGTGTATATACACACATATATATGTTAAATAAATAAATAAATAACAATACATACATTTGTCTGGGATAAAGGCCCAGTCATTTTGGCTCTAGATATGGTAACTGGCCTTACTACCATTGCAATAATGTCTTGATAAGCCCCATCCCTATTACTGTGACTTTCATAGTCTCATTTCCTAGCATGAAGTGATATTTCTAGTCTCTTCAAAAATTTTTAATTTATCCAATCTATACTCTCATCAAAAAAACACCTAACCTTACTGTTTGATGACAGAAACAATAACACCTTGAAAGGAAAAGTGAAACACACTATTGCTATCCCACCCAACCCCCCAAACACTCTAGCTGTTGATTTCATCCTGTTAGTAGAGCTAACAAGAATAGACTCCATTCAAATTGTCCACAGAACCTGGGCTGCTTCGTTCCTCTCTCATTTATTCCCCTCTCCATTTCCTCTAACGTACACACAACTGCCTCACTCTGCTGTCCGTCTTCCCCCAACTGTTACCCAACAATTCATAATAGGCTGTCACAGATTGTCATTACTGCGTTCGGGGACTTGAGAAGTACTCTTGTGGGACATTGCAGTGTGTTAGTACAGCATTTCCCCGGACGCAATGTCACTCTTTATAGCCAGTTGCAAATTAGTTTCCTCTTAAAAAAATAATGCTCCTAATAAGACAGGTACAAGGAGATTTTAAATAACCAAGATTAAAACTCACTTTGGTTTGCTCTGAGATCTGATACATTTCAGAGTCATGCACAATGAAATCCCATGCCTCTACTTATATGAGCCATACAAACCATCTAGGAACATCTGAAGTCAACTTTCTGATGCTAACAAAAGCAAAGAGACTACCAAAAACCTATCAAAGGAGAACTTTCTTTTCCTTTTTCTATACCTATGGCTCCTCATTCTTAGATTCTATCTGAGAAGACTTTAAGTTCAGCTCTCAACATCAACATTTACTTCTCACTCGCTGTGCAAAACCTTATTTCAAAGAAAATTCTACAAATCACCAATATCATTTCATTATAGTTTCCATCCAATTTTCTTGCCACGTGCTTTAGCAGCAAACAAGTACAATTATCTTCTAACAGATGCTGTGACTGACCCTCTTGTTACCACTAAAGCTTTCACCCTACACATCAGCTTCCCAGTTGCCACTAGATAGATACACATGAGAGTGAGAAGCTGAAAAAGACTGAAAAGATCACCAGAGGATGTAGGTTAGAAAAATGTTTCACAAAATAGCAGGTCCTACCAATTAAGTCTTCTTTAAAAAAAATTTAATTGGAAATAAACAACTACAGAGTAATATTTAAAAACTGATTATCAGCCCTGGCCAGTTTGGCTCAGTGCTTAGAGTGTCAGCCAACAGACCAAAGAGTCCTGGGTTCTATTCCCGGTCAAGGGCACATACCTCAGTTGCAGGCTCAATCCCAGAGACCCAAGCTTGATCCCAGAGACCCAGTCAGGGTGTGTGCAGGAGGGAACCAATCAATGTCTCTCTCTCTCACACTGATGTATCTCTCTTCCCGCCTCCTCCCTCACTTCCATTCTCTCTAAAATCAATGGAAAAATATCCTCGAGTGAGGATTAAAAAATAACAAACTGAAATCATTTTCACTAGATACTATTTTTCATTTCCAAGTTCTTTAATAAATCATTCTGCTTTGTTTTTACTTTTTTATTTATTGATATTTGAGAGAGAGAGAGAGGAAGGGGGGGAGAGAGAGAAACATCGATTTGTTGTTCCACCCACCCACGCATCCACCAGTTGATTGCTGCACATACCCTAACCCTGGAATTGAACCTGCAACCCCAGAACATTGGGATGACGTTCCAACCAACTGAACGACCAGGCCAGGGCCTCATCACACTTTACAAAAGACTTAAATGATTATCTAATTCTTTAACCCTTACAATAACAACACATCTTTGCTGATCCCTATATGCACTATAGGAAAGTTAGAGCTTAAAAGGATGTTAATTCTGTTTTACCAGTGAAGAGAGACTAAAGAAAGCAAAGCTAGTAATCCAACTTTGAGAACTAATTCCAGTATTTAACCAGCTCCTGTTCTCTTTACAACAAATACCAAAATTAAGAAAGACAGTGAATAAAAGCAAGAAAATCTTCCAAAGAGCCTAAGTCTTTTAGGAAACTGCCACTTTCAAACTTGTTTTACATTTTATTTTACAAAATAAAATGACGGTGAAAAAACAAAACATAAGCAAATATTTTGAGTAAATGAACAGAATTTCTATAAAATATGCATTAAGTCCTGGCTGGTATGGCTCAGTTAGCTGGGCATCGTCCCAAGTACCAAAAGGCTGCTGGTTCAATTCCCCGTCATTGCAGTCTCTATCCCTGGCAGGATGCATGCAGGAGGCAGCCAATAGATATTTCACTCTCACATTGATGTTTCTCTCCCACTCTCCCCTCTCCTTTCCATCTCTAAAAATCAATAAAAAATCTTTTAAAAAAATATGCATAAGTATACTTAATTGACTTACCAAGTAAGTGACATTTATTTTTTGAGTAACAAAACTCAAGGACAAATAGGTAGATTCGGTCTGAAGAAAAATGGTACAAAAATTCCCTTCTGATAGACACAGCAGCCTCACCTGGAAAATAATATTAATAAAAGTTATTTTTCTAAAAAATATAGTTACCACTTCTTTGACACATGTCTGTGTACTTAACTTACATTATCTTATTTCGTGAATACTAAGAGTTTAATACAGATTGTGCAATGAAAATACACATACACAAAGTACTTTTTAGAAACTCATCAACAAACCAGAATAAAGATATATCACCTCTCATTCTCAGAGTGTAAAACAGATGATCTCTAGTTTAGGGGCTGACTAGCAGTACAGAGATCTTTAAAACTGGGTGATTATGTGAGCATACTGAACACAAAGATCTACTGCCCTCACCCCCATTTCCACACACCAGATCCCAGAAAAATGCAAACTGTTCTAGATTGAAAGTGCCCTCCAAGTACCTACAAATACCCAGCACAGCGTAAAAATAGACAGACCCACAGCAACGCACATCATTGTGAAATTCTGGAATACTGGGGACAAAGCAGAGATCCAACAAGGTCCAAACAGAAGAAGATTCATGCTGGCTTATGATTTCTAAACAGCAACAGAGGCCCGGCCGGGCATGGCTCAGCGATTGAGCGTCGACCTAGGATCCAGGCGATCGGGGTTCGATTCCCATTCAGGGCACATGCCCGGGTTGCGGGCTGCAGCCGATCAATGACTCTCTCATCATTGATATTTCTATCTCTCTCTCTCTCCCTCTCCTTTCCTCTCTCTGAAATCAATAAAGATATACTTTAAATAAATAAACAAACAAACAAACAGCAACAGAGGACAAGTAAAAAAAACAAAAACTATGCCTTCAAAATTCTGAAGAAAAGTACTTTCAATCTAGAATTTTACACTCACCCAAACTAAATCAAATGTGAGGACAGAAAAAAAGATATTTTGACATGAAAAAGCTCAAAAAATTACTTCCCATGTACTCCTTCTTAGAAAATTACTAGAGTAGTGAGAATTTCAAGTTCTTACAAATTTAGGGAAAAGACTGATTGTAGCCATAGTAAAAAGTTGCCAGGAAAACCACTTTTAAATCCATTCAGTTGATAAGGACAACTTCCCTCAGCAGGCACTCCTTTACAAGCCACCCAGTCAGAGACAGATTCATTCCAATAAATATACCCGAGTGCCAACCAGTCAACAAGTAACCATGCATCTATAAATGATGTTAATCCACTTCTGTCTCTTAATATCTTCCAATCCCTGAACTCCATGCTCCCCAAAAACACTCTGTAAGATTAACAATCTGCTTTGTTCAGGGAGATTGTGCCTGATAAGATATTCTAGTGAGTGATGGTCTCATCATACTTTGACACCAAACAAGGAAATAAATCAAAATAAAGAAAGGCATAGGATATGGAACACAAGATATTCAACAGAGAGAAGACAAGGAATCTTGTTGAATGGAGATTAAAGGATGGTGACTGTGTACCAGAAGTAGAAGGCAACCAATCCAGATTGAAGCTATATGACAGACACAGGCATACTGAAGGCTGTCACCCCATGCTCTTAGCCATAGCACCATGAAAAACATGTGAGTGAAGAAGCCTCCAGATTCTAACTCCTACCCAGCAAGTCAGCACCAGCTTTCAAGTCTTTCCAGATAAGTCATCTCAACACTGTGCAATCTGAATTCCAACAGCATCCTTAGCATAAAACTGCTTTACATCACTAAGTTTTAGAGTATATAGTTTATAAAAGTACCTAAGTGCCAAAATGGAAATATAAAATTAACGCAACCACAAATAGTTAATTTATAAAATCATTTGGACTTACAGAGCTTTTGATTCCTTTACAAAAGTAGAACAGTTTTAGTAAATACCTAGGAAAAAAGATTGGGGGAAAAAACATTAAAAATGTAGGTCTGGTTATGTGTTCATATTGTGATTATGAGTGTTTTTGGTATTGTTCTTACAAAAATTTCCTGTATTTTCTGAATTGTCTACAGTAAGCATGGCCAATGTGGCTCAGTTGGTTAGAGCATCGTCTAGTGAACCAAAAGGTGGTGGATTCAATTCGAAGTCAGGGCACATGCCTAAGTTGCGGGTTCGATTCCGGGTGGGGGCGAGCACAGGGGGCAACTGCTTAATGCTTGTTTCTTTCATACATCAGTGTTTTTCTTTCTCTCTCCCCCCCTCTCCCTCCTCGCCTCGCTCTAAAATCATTAAAACATATCCTCAGGTGAGGATTTAAAAGGAAAATAAAAATATTTCCAAACAAGAAAATAATAGTTTTCATTTTTTAAAATTTGTTTAAACTACACTTTCAAGTAAGTAGTTAACAGGTCTGTAACACATAAGCTGGCTTAGTGTTTGCACACTGAATATGCAAAATAAATTTAGTATTTAAAGAATAATTTTAGTTTATAAAAAAACACATAAACATACTTGATTTACTATTTCTATCTGCTTTTCTTCCCTTTACTAGCTAATTACAAATAGTTACAAGTTCTCCTCAAAAAGATAAATACTAACTCAATAAGCTCTCCATCTCTTGGTGATGCCCTGCTGGTTGTTCCCTCTCACATTCTGTCTCCCTCTCTGCATCTGTCTGTCTCTCATTTCTAAGTAGGTCCTCTGTATCTGATTACTCCTCTCTAACTACTTGTCTGACTGTCCCTGTCACTGTTTCAGATTTCCCCTTTATCTCTAATTGACCCTCCCTCTCTGCCTATTGTCTCTGTTTTCTTCTTTCTGTCTCTTCCCAACAATTACCCATCCCTTTGTTAAGACATTCTTGTTAACTTTTCACACTAATCTTTATAAACAAGCAGTGTTGGTATTATTATCCCTACTTTACAGGATGATAAGGAAACACAAACAGGACTACTGGTACAAATTTACGAGGTTAAGATTTAAATCCAAGTGCTTCTTTTCTTTCTTTGAAACTCTTCTGGCATCCCATGGCAAAGAACTTAAAACAGCCCAACTGCAAGCCAATATTAACATTACACATACTCTTTTCTAAAATGCAAATTACATATTAAGGAGTGCCACACATCTTTTACCCACATTTCTTCCTCTGCACCAAGTTAAATGGTTATGAACTATCAGCCATTTGACTATTCCAGAAAACCGTACCATCATATTCACAGGTTAACCTGTGTTATTTGGGAACCTTACTAGATACCAGAACCTGCTGTTTCCAACAGTGCATCTCTGCTTCCATATTTTTTTCCCTAGTCAGAAACCAGCTATGTTTGACATTAAAAAAACAAAACAAAACAAAACAAAACAGATACAAGAGGGGCAACAAATATTTATAAAACTGAAGAGTGAATTTGAAGAATGGAAAACTATACAGAAGGCTAGCAAGAGAAAGTGAAAAATGCATACCATGGACTGGAAGCAACTGGTCCATGTTTTATTGAGAAAAGCCTCTCCAAATTCAGTCTTACTGCTGTTGAGCAACACCCTATACCTTCTCTCCTATCTAAAGCTCTGACAACTGGAATTTCTCTGTAATTCAATAAGCTCTTTGGAGTTACCCAGGCTTCATCCATCCTGCTGGGCACATTAGTAGAGAACTCTGTTTTCCACTAAAAGCACATTTTGTGGTGGGTGGCATAGGAGTAGGGTTCTCTTTCAAGACATGAATAGCCTAGTTCCATTTCTTTTCACTTCTCCTATGAGTGGGAAGCCTGCAACAAATATAGTTCAACAGCTAAAAGTAATATCTAAATTACAGCTCAGGTTAGTGGTTGTCAAAGTCATCCTGGAGGTCACCAGTTTTATACATAATGTGAGGGCTAGTCTTATATTTATACAGTTTTGTAATTAAAAATCTATACTTTTATTTTCAGCATTAGTTTATTTACTTCTATTATGTCTAATGAGTGCATGAATGCCGAATCAACAATATAGCAGTCTTATTCATTCTGGTGAGATACTTTGTGAATAGTTAGTTTAGGGAGCTAATGAGGACAGGGTCACAGATTCAAACATGTTGGCCAATTAGCTTTGCTGTGTTTCAGGGTTCCATGGTCACGATCAACAACCTTAACCTTGGCTGGGGCAAAAAATATATAATGTAAAAGCACTGGAGGAAATGAATATAGATGTATCACCAAAATTCATGACTATCAGAAAAACATGAACACTGAAAATAGTAATAATACCACCACCATCTAAGCCTGGCTATTATGTACAGAGTTTAAACAATCTCTAATCTTTTCAGTCACGCAGGTTGATGTTATTTGTGTTTTATAGATCAGGAGAAACTGAACTCCGAATGACTGATTGAACCAATCACAAAATAGTAAGCAATAGAGTCTGGATTCAAACCTTGGTCTGTCTGACTCCAAAGCTTAGGTTATTTCCACAATACCATACTGTCTCTCCAAAGCACGCCTTAGGGACACAGGACAATCAACAGAATGTTCTTATTCAAAACTATTCAGCACAATCATCACTAACTGAGCCTTAACTATGTACAATTAGATGCCATAGCTGAGAATGAGTCTACCCTCCAAAAACTTCTTTTAAGTCAAAGAACAGCCAAGGAACAAAAATAGTTAGAACATGAAAGAAAAAAAGAACACATTATAGCACACAAAGTAGATTTTAATGAAAGTGATTGCTTTTACAGTTTTGTATAAAAATTTGTAGTGAAAAAATACCTTGCTGATTCATGGCTAAGAATGAAACTGACAAAGCAGAGGCAGGGGATACCACATCAAAAAAGAGAGTAAAGGAAACATTTCCTAAACATCTGAGTTCACAGGTTGAAGGAATTTAAAATAAACATTTCTCTTTTTTTGGGTTAATCCTCACCAGAGAATACTTTCTCCTTTGATATCTAGAGAGTGGAAGGGAGGGAGAGCAGGGGGGAGAGAAACATAGATGTGAGACACATTGACTGGTTCCCTCCCACACGTACCCTACACACCCGGACAGGGACGGATCATGCAACCCAGGTGTGTGCCCTTGACCAGGAACCGAACTTGGGACCCTCTGGTCCTCCAGCCAACACTCTAACCACTGAGCCAAACCAGCCAGGGTAACATTTCATTTCTTAACTGGAAGACTCTACTTTGACTAAGTCAGTTTTCCCTATTAGGCTTTTCTCCTAGTATTTCTAAACTCTTACTCCTTGCAGATATACACAAGCCAATGCCACCATCAGCATCAGTCACTAAGAGTTTCCACCTCCAAAAATGAGGTCACCAGTGAACTGGATTTAAAAAGAAGACCCCTACATATGCTGCTTATATGAGACTCACTTCAGATCAAAAGGCACACACAGATTGAAAGTAAAGGAATGGAAAAAGATATTTCATTAAAATGGAAACAAAAACAAAAAAGCTAGGATAGCAATACTTGTATCAGACAAAATAGACTTTAAAACAAATAAGGACCCAGCGATTCCACTTCTGGGTGCTTATCTAAAAACAAAACTCTAATTGGAAAAGATATATACACCTCTATGTTCACTGCAGCATTATTTACAATAGCCATGATATGGAAGCAACCTAGGTGTTCATATGTGTCTGAGCGAGGGAGCACGCACACACTGGACTATTACTCAGCCACGAAAAAAAATGAAATCTTGCTGTTTGAAACAACACAGACAGACCTAGAGGGTATTATGCTAAGTGAAATAAGTCAGAGAAAGACAAATACTATATCATTTCACTTATAAGCGGCATCTAAAAAACTAAGCAAATGAACAGACTCATACATACAGAAAACTGATAGTTGCAAAGGGGTGGGGGGATGAGCAAAAAAGTGAAGAGGATTAAGAGATACAAACTTATAAATAAGTCAGGGGGAATTAGTCAATATCACAATAACTTTGTACTGTGACAGATGGTTACTGGACTTTTTGTGGTGATCACTTTGTAAGGTATATAAACGTTGAACCACTATGTTGTATGTCAACTAATATAGTATTGTATGTCAACAATATTTGTAAAAGCTTTACATTCAAAAAAAAGGTCGCCAAAGTCTTCTGGATCCTACTAGGCTGAAATTTTTACAGTCGAATAGTCTGGCTTTAAAAAAAAAAAAGATGGGGAGGAAGAAAGGGCCAAAAATGCTCTATAAAACTCTGTCCTAGTCAATTAATTGTCAATATCTAAGTCATAAACATAGACAATTGTTCTGCTACAAGCTATGATGTGCAGACAGAAAACTGCATTCTAACTACAGGTTATAAATGAAACATCACATCCCAACAATCTTTTCACAACAGCATTTTGGAGAGCTCTAAAAGCGAAAAGCAGCATAATATAATCTTTACATAAAATGCAATTGCTTAAAAAAAACCTGCAACCTGAGAACTTGGTTACAGTATTTTAAGTTTATGGGTTAAGAATAACTATCCTCATTTTACAAATAAAAAAAGGAATCTCAAGAAAATACTTATCTAAAATTATTCTTTTATCATCATCGTCATCAGTTACAATAGCAACAGAATAAGCACTTACTCCAGGCACTACTAAGCTCTTTATATTCATATCTCACTTAATCTTTATAGACACCTTGCAAGGTAAATGCTATTATCTTAATTTTAGAGATTGGTAAACAGTCTTAGAGATCAACTAATTTGCCAGAAGTCATAAACTATAAGGCACAGCACTAGGGTTTGAACTCAAAGTGGTTCGACTTTGTACATCAGCTAACTCACTGCACTGCCAACTTCTTTTGAATCATACTCAAATAGTTTTCAACCAATGATTTCAGAATAAATGCAAGTTAAGATTACCTAAGTACTACTCCAAACCCATAAAAAATTGATTAGAAAATCCCCATTCTCAAATAAATAAAGAAAATCCCTATTCTCTACAAGGGGAAGAAAAATAAGACAAAAAGTCACCTGCTTGGAGTCTCAGAGCTTTATTGCCAGAAAAAGAAAGACTGGAATATTGGCTGTTTATATTCTGAATACTAACTCTGAGGAAAAACAGACTCCTGGCACATGTACCTAGGATTGGTGAAAATAACCCTAATATTTGGACTAGTATGCACACAAGGTTAGTGGGACTGTAAGAATCACAGCGAGGTTTAGCAAGAGTAGTATCTGAAAGAAGGAAAAAGAAACAAGACCTGCTGGAGACAGGCATTAGTTTAGCACATCTGA